TAAATTACTGGTGAAAAGGTATGTAATGTCCCTAAGCTCTGACACTGTGAGGGAAAAAACACAACCAAAGTCTTTGGGATAACATGCATGCTGACTGATCTCAACTCATCATTCAACGTGAGTAACTTCTGTTCCTTGTCTTGCCAAAAGGACAGACAACTTCAGGCCAGTTTTGACTGTAAATCCTAAAGGATTATTGTTGTTATTTAGCATAACTCTGTTAACAAGCATCATCATTCCTCATTGCCAGAGCCGGTTCAAGGCATCTCAGGCTTGCAGCAAACATGTCCCTCCTCTCCTTGTGCATAGGTAGAGCAGGGAGCCCGCCAATCATATAGTTACAGCAGTGTATAGGCGGTGGCAACTAAGCACCATCTGTGCTCTAAACATGAAACAACTCTGAGCCAAAAAACCCCGTAGTGACATAAGCCCAGCTCTAACTCAGTTACACACCATAGCTTACCAGCAGCCTGCCAGAGCTTCTACACGTCAGAGCACGAGCAACAGCTAAAGGACTGGGTGAAGAGCAATGTCATTAAGTTCAAGAGGGAGACTTAAAAGTCTCTGCACGAGGCCTGTAACGACCCCGTGCATCACTATGGCCGCTGAACAGACTGGTAAAGCTGATGCTCTGCTGAAAAGGAACTGAACTCAGGATGGACACCAGGTTGAATACGAGCCAGCACATGCTCTCATTGCAAATACGATAAACCACCTCACCATATAAGGTGTGTCGCCAGCAGATAGATGGAAGTTACTGTCCCCCTCTCCTTGGTACTGGTGGGGACACACCTGGAATACTGTGCCTAGCTTTGGGTCCCTAGGTTCAACAGCATGGAGAAAATGGAGAGGGGACAGCAGAGGGCTATAAGGATGGTTGGGATGGAGAAAACATGACCTACGAGAAGAGGCTGAATGAGCTGGCCTTGTTTAGTCTGGTGAAGAGGAGGTTAAGAAGGACAAATATGATAAACTCAACTCCTTCCAGTTCTATCAGAAGATTTTTAAAGGGGCAATGGCCCCAGATTTAAGTTTTGGCCATTCAGATTGGATGCCAGAGAAATCTTTTTAGCTGGAGCAATACTGCAGCACTGGAAAAGATTACCTACAGCATCTGTGAAATCTCTGTCCTTGAAGGTTTTCAAGACTGTACTTTACAAACCACAGCTGACCAGGTCAAGTCTTGGTCCCAGTTAGAGCAGGAGGTTGCATGCAACCAGCATTCCTATGCTGTGATTAGAATCCAGCTGAGTTTAGATTGATCCATTTAAACATATTGTCCATGCTGGTCCCCCAAACATTGTTGCCTCTTATTGGAGCTGCTGCTTCAAAAATTCAGAGACATTGCTGCTGAATCTGGGACTGTTCTCCAATTGCTCCCTTCATTCCTAGAGAATCATAGAGTAATAGAATACTTTGGGTTAGAAGGGACCTTCAAAGGTCATCTAGTCCAACCCCCCTGCCGAGGTCAGGGACATCTTCAACTAGATCAGGTTGCTCAGAGGCCCGTCCAACCTGACCTTGAATGTTTCCAGGGATGGGTCATCTACCACCTCTCTGGGCAACCTGTGCCAGTGTTTCACCACCCTCATTGCAAAAAATTTCTTCCTTGTATCTAGTCTAAATCTTCTCTCTTTTAGTTTAAAACCATTCCCCCTTGTCCTGTTGCAACAGGCCCTGCTAAAAAGTTTGTCTCCATCTCTCTTATAAAGGTTTGTCTCCATCTCTCTTATAAAGCCCCTTTAAGTACTGAAAGGCTGCAGTAAGGTCTCCCCAAAGCCTTCTCTTCTCCAGGCTGAATAACCCCAGCTCTCTCAGCCTTTCTTCATAGGAGAGGTGTTCCATCCCTCTGATCATTTTTGTGGCCCTCCTCTGGACCCGCTCCAACAGGTCCATGTCTTTCCTGTGTGGGGGGGACCGTGACAAAGGCCTTACAGAGGTCCAGATAGATGACATCCGTAGCTCTTCCCATGTCCACTGATGTAGTCACTCCATCATAGAAGTCCACTAGGTTGGTCAGGCAGGACTGGCCTGGCTTGCTGGCTGTATTGAATCACCTCCCTGTCCTGGCAATGAAGCTCTGGCAACGAAGCATGGTCAAGGTGCTAATGGTCTGCTGCATGTCATTACTGTGAGGAGTAGATATACAAACCCCTAATACCATGACGTGCATCTGAAATATTCTGCCTCTTAGCAAAGATATTTCTAAACATAAGAAATCTACAACTGCAGAGTTCTTTCCAAAATGTGGAAAATAATGGCAGATTAAAGCATCAGAGATACCTTAACTTCAATAATCAGGCACATATTTACTGGGGATGTTAGCCTCTTCATTTGCCTCTCCCTCTTGCTCCCTTGCTATGACAGTGGCATCACATGCAGTGCTACACTGAGACTACAAATCATATCAGCATCGCGGCACGAGGAGGCGGCTAACAGGGGAGCCAAGTTCATCTCCGTGGCTGGCGCAGGCTGGGCAGTGTCAGTGTCTCCTCCCACACCCGGCCTGGTGCTGCACCACAGAGGCAGTAACATTGTGGTTGTACCTGAACTGCGCAGCCACCTGCTGTGTTTGCCTGAGCTGTGATTCAGTGATCTGAGGAATAAAAAAGAAAGGAAAGGAAAGGAAAGGAAAGGAAAGGAAAGGAAAGGAAAGGAAAGGAAAGGAAAGGAAAGGAAAGGAAAGGAAAGGAAAGGAAAGGAAAGGAAAGGAAAGGAAAGGAAAGGAAAGGAAAGGAAAGGAAAGGAAAGGAAAGGAAAGGAAAGGAAAGGAAAGGAAAGGAAAGGAAAGGAAAGGAAAGGAAAGGAAAGGAAAGGAAAGGAAAGGAAAGGAAAGGAAAGGAAAGGAAAGGAAAGGAAAGGAAAGGAAAGGAAAGGAAAGGAAAGGAAAGGAAAGGAAAGGAAAGGAAAGGAAAGGAAAGGAAAGGAAAGGAAAGGAAAGGAAAGGAAAGGAAAGGAAAGGAAAGGAAAGGAAAGGAAAGGAAAGGAAAGGAAAGGAAAGGAAAGGAAAGGAAAGGAAAGGAAAGGAAAGGAAAGGAAAGGAAAGGAAAGAGCAGCTGCCTGTAGTTGCATCAGAGTTGCTTCACCCCCTATAAGCTAAAAGAAAAAGCCTTGCTGAGCAAACATTGTCACATATCTGTGGAGTCTTCTAGTTTAAAAAGTGGAATCAGAAATTCAGTTAAGTTTTGCGGTGCAATTTTTGGCCTCTCACTAGAAACACAAGTGTCACTGGTGACATATTTATCTGCCGTACTATGTGCTATAGCAACATATGCTCATAAACATTCCTTTTTACAGTTGTCAGCTGCTGCGTAATTGCTTGTCTCTTGTTCATTGTGTGGCAGCAGAACTGCTCATTAGTAAAGCTAATCACAACCAAAGAACATATATCCTGCACGCTTTATATCAGTTGGTTGCGAAGTGCAATTAGTTGTAAAGTGCAAAGCCAGTTGCAGCTGATTTTAAGTCAAAACAACTAGTTCTTGAAGCATTAGTCCAGGTTATTCACATGAACTAAAAATGTCGTTCAAGAGCCTCATCTCCATACATTATGGAGCAACACATAATCAGCTAAAAGATACAGACAAACATCCTTGAAGTCAAACTGCCTGTATTGGCAACAACACTGATAGAATATACGTACAAGAAAGACGAGGCAATGAATTCTTCTAACATACATTTTAATCTGCTTTAATATACCACTGTCTTTAGCACCAGGAAAGTTAATTATCTTGATCTTTATTATTTTCTTGATCTTCATCTTCAGTTCAATCATTTTTTCCTGTAATGAACTCCTGAAATCGAATTTAATTTTATCCTATTAAAGCTTTTTTTTTGGTTACAGAAATGTGCTGCATCACGCACAGGGTAACTTGGCAAGATTCAATGATGAGTTCTAGAAATAAAAAGTTTTACTAATTATTTATAGTACAGGGTATACACACCTCTTGAAATACATGTATTGCTGTTACATCAGCTAATTAGAAGAAAAATTTCTGCCAAGACCTACAATTAGCAGCACTGCAGTGTACAGTGAAGTAATAGAGTGGGAGTTTTTTGGTTTTGTGTTTGGTTTTTGTTTTTTTGTTGTTTTTTTTTTAATATATGAAGGAAGATTCATTGCTGTGGGGCTAAACGTGTGGTAGAGCAGCTCACAGCTCTTTTGGGACTGATTGCCACTTTGATGCTTGGCACATCAGAGTTTCCAGCAAGCTCAGACACAACATCCTAGGATTAGAACATCAATTTCTCTAGGGGATCATATACTTTAGATGGTAAGAAGCTCCTTTTCATCAAAAAGCAAAAAACAAAGGAAAAAATAATAGTAATAATAATTAAAAAAAAAAGCACACAGCAGAGTGGCTTCACTTCCTATAAATCCTGGTCGCCTAGGAGAGTGGCATAGCTCTCCAATTTGAAGCTTGGCTACCAATACTCATTATGGAATTCAACTGAAGACTTTTTCTTCCAGTCACATAGAGACTCTCCATATTTCAAAACTGCCTAGTGGATTTCCTAGCGCAATAAAACTTCAGCTGAGAAATCCTGATACAACTGGACAGGAGTCTGGCACTTCCTAGAGACAAATCTAACCTTCATACTAACAACCATTAGCAAGCACTACTAGCTTATTACCTTTTCCTTTGTGTGCATTTACCATTAATGTTTGTCCAGCTGAAATTTTAAACTTCTTGGGAAGGGACTTCATCTTTCAATGCGTATATACTATACGACATTGCACAAGGCAATTTCTTCCTCCTTTAAACTGAAGCATGCTGTCTAAGAACACCCCTAGAATACAAACGTACATCTAAGCTCAACTCCATTTTTATAATGTCCAGCAAACGCACTGGAAAATGCTGCCCCTTAGAGCAACACGATCAATTCCTTCGGTTTATCAGAGGGATTTACAAAATGGATATCAAATGCCATCCTGCTGACTTGTCTTGACACAAAGGCATGCTTGCCTTTGGATATGCACTGGATAAATAGATACTCACATTCCATAAAATAGGGGCCAGGTTCAATTCGCCATACAATTTGTCCTTTTTGCGTGCCAGTCACTCCCCGATTCTTGGAATCCCAGAAATTGGCTGGAGAGTTCTCATCTGAAAGAGAAAAAAAAAATTGTCAAGTAGTATTTATAATAGTTTTCTTGCTTTTCTGTTTCAAGAGGCCCAGATACAAAAAATTACTTGTGTTTAAAAAAAAAAAAAAAACACATAAAAAAAAACCAAACAAACTGGCAAAAGATAAATGACTTCTCATTCACAGTTGATAGTTAGATCAATTTATGCAGAGTGAGCAGACATACATACAGCCAAAGTAAGTATATGGTTTCCTGTAAGAAGTGGCCTGCCAAGATAAAGTGTTAAATTCCAAAACTTCCTTAACGCAACAGAGAGGCTACTGGGAGTGTATAGCTGATTCCAACTTCATCACAGAGTTACCACACCATTTTATACAGCAGTCCTGCTCTGTGATGTGATACTCTAGCATTCATTCCCTAGGTAGGAAGTATAGAATGCAACCATAGGTATCAAGTCTTACCTCAGTTTTTAATATATCCTATATTTTAGAAACTAGAGAGAATATTTTTATACATACACCAAAAAAATCTGACACTTTCAACTTCCCGACATGTACAGTATTATTCCCTATCAGTGAAGTCAAGTTAGAGGCTCAAAGGGCAGAACTGTCACTTAGGAAGCGAGAGATACAAATGAGATTCAGCAAAATACATTCAAAAGAAGAGAACTGAGAAGCAAACACTAAGTATCTCCAGGTCAGCTTAGCAATACCAGTATTTTCCCCTCCCGAACTAAGGTTTTTATCCTAACAGTAATGAACACGGGTCTTGGGGTTTGTTTTTTATTTACCAGCCTGTGTTCAGGCACCCAGAACGCTGTATGAATGAAAGAAAACCAGAGTGAGAAGCTGTTTGAAAGGGCACAAAGGTTAGTTACGACCACCCAGAGGAAGCTGACATAAACGCAACTTAACTTCTTTTGTACAGGAAGATCTTTAGAATTATGCATCGTAACGTTTTACAAGTGCGTTTAGGCAGCTGTTTCTTAATTAGACAATTACACCTGTGACCTCAAATACAACATCCTAATTCTTTCCAGGGGTACTTGATATCCCTTAGTCTTAAATTTTTTTTAAAAAAGTATCCTGTTTTATTACACACATTTGAGTGCATTCTGCAGTCTTAAAAAGACCTCACTAAGAACTTAATCTACTGTGGCTTTGTTCATGAAGCTCCTATCCATTCAAGCACGTTTTCTTCGTACTTTGGTAGGAACTCCTGCATAAGTAAGATTACAGAATTGTCACCTTCATTTTAGAAATCCATATGCTATTTATGAAAGAATAATCAACAATGCAGCTTTGTTATTTTTATCTTAAAAATATAAACTTACACTAAAGCTTCTCTTTCTCCTTTTCATTCTGATTGCTTATCTCAGTGTATGCACAATAACTCTACTGAATCATGATTAGTGCAGTCTGTACATTCACATCCCACCAAACTGACATGCAAAGCATTACCAGACACATGCTGGACTTCTGTGATTGCTCAAGAGTAAGTTACACACCCTGTCCACAACCTGGAAGAGCCCTGGCAAGTCAAGAGGCAGCCATGGCAAGCTACAGACATTTTTATGGCTCCAGGCATGGGCAACTTCGAGAATTTTTAGAAAGCTGTGGTCTGAACACCTCAACATCATGACGAGTCCAGAATAGTTTCATAATTATCTCAATGACAATGAGAAGAGAGAGGAGGGTTCTCCTACTGCCTGTGATCTTCGAGCATGTAATACCCTCAAGGCTTAATTTTTTGTGTGAAATCAACACGATAGTACATAAACTGCATACACCATACAGTCAGGCACATAGGCAGTAAAAACTTAAAACATGCATAATTATTCTTCATTACGGCGAAAAACTTTCAGAGTAAACAAAGCTCTATCTCACCCATGTATTTCTTTTTTTTTCCAAAGCTATATAAAGAGGAACTCTGAAAGTACAGCCTGTAAATCATCCCATGGGCCTCAGAAAAAAATCTCTATATGTGGCTTGCAATAACACTAACCGAAACAATACACTGTTGACTTATTTATTTACTTTTTTATTTTTTAATGTGCCTTCCTAACCAAAGGCCCCACTATTATCTTCCACAGACAGAACTCTGGGAAGCCATAAGATATAGCTTAACTTCCAGCAAATCTATACTAGTGCCTACTTTGGTCCACCATACAAACTTGGTTATCCGAACCATCGCTACCAAAAGTGAGCAGATTCTTTAAAAATTCCACAGTTATCTGAAACACAGATAGTTTTAAATTATTCAGTGTTCTCATTACGTCTAGGTAAATAAAGATGTATCGTATGACAAAAAACCACCTCCCCTAACATGCCCTAGTTCTTCTGAATTTCTGAATTTAATCAACTGGAAAAGAGTCTTCGTAATTCTGAGCAGAAGGACAGATATTTGGTACATTATAACCGTAAGCATGAAATTTTTTATCCTTATCTTGTTCAAAAAATCAAGGAACTCTGAAGCAATGAAATACGCCTTTAACAGTGAGACTTCCAACATTAAGGCACAAGCAACTGTTCTTTGTTTTTTAAAATCAGTAATTAAGTAAAGTCAATGGTAATTTTTAACAGGACATTAGTGAGCTTCAGAAAAGGTCCTACATGAACCGAGTCTCGAATTCTGAGCTGATAGTTACAAGAAAGCAGAACATTTTCTTACACCTTAATTAATAAAATCCAACATTTAAGAAAGTGTCTGGACTTCCAGCCCTTTCATGAAGGAATAGTCTCCTTTGCAGCAATGAAGACTGAATCATTGATACTCTGCCCACAGGTATGCTGCCATTGCAACAGAAGGTGGCGGAGACAGAGGGATGAAAAATGCTGACAGACCACTGCCTGTCAGCAATCGACTCAAATTACAGAATTTATTTTGGACAGCTTTGATTTTCTTCCGAAACAGCTGATTTTTTTCTACTTTTATGATGTTATTCACATAATGGAAAAAAATAACATCACTAATGCATATGGAAAAATAACTTCAAACCTCAGTTCATGGATTTTAAAAAAAGAAACTGAACAGCAAAAAAAAGGAAAAGAAAAAAAAAACCACACCAAAAAATAGCATGAAAACATTAAAGTACACAATATTGCCGAAATTTACTTATCAACACTGCAATAAAAAACAGTTAAACAGTGATAGTAATATTCAGCTGGGCAATAAAGAAGTCTTTGAGAGCACAAAAAGCAGTGTCAGAATTACCACTACCTCATCTCTCTTCTTCCCCAAAAAGTGTACGTGTATGTCCATGTGTATACACACACACACACACACACACATATACACACACACACACACGATATATATTCTATAAGGAATTTCAATTCTAAGAAGTTCTAGTCCCCTTTTAGCTGATAATTGTTGCTGTTTGTGAAACTGGCGGCTGTTCCAGAATCTGGGCCAAAGAGGAGATATAAATATCCCTTCCCAGAACATAAAATATGCAACAAAATACTGTCTTACTGCATTGGTATCTCGTCCAGTGAGTCTACACTTCTGAAAGAAATAAACCAATGCAAGATGCACAGCATCTTTCTGTCTTTAATAATTCTTAGACACAAAATATTACAGAAAGTAACTTACTTCTCAGAGCTGCAACCCCTGCACAAATCAGCATATGTGAGATACGTTCTAAAATGAAAAGTGGATAGTAATAAATATATCACTGTGTGGAACTTCACACTGACTAGTGCTCCTTGAAATCACTGTAAAGCAAACATGTTCTGAGTAATAATGTTTTCTTTATTTAACTGCTAAGCAATCAGCCAAACCTGGTATTAAGAACCAAACTAATTTTTTTTCCACTTTCAGGCTTCATCATCATGACAACACCCGTTAAGGTAAGTTAGATACCAACGGCATCTGTAATACCCACAGCTTGTGCTCTCCATGTCAGCATTGTAGTTCTCCACCTGTGTCCACAGCTCTGCCCTGATGTGACAGTGAATGGGATGCAGCTCCCTCTAGCATGTGTCAATTCAGTATGCTATATTATGTGAAAAGCAATATAGAAGTACTGGACAAACGGATGAAACAGTGCAATGAAAGAAGAGGGTTTTGTTTTTACAGAATTAGTTTTCACAATAGAATTATGCCCGTAAAAGAGTAAGAGCCATAAGAAGCTCCAGTATGGCCATGCCTTTTCTGTACTGGGAGCCCAGAACTGGACACAGCACTCAGATGTGTCTCACCGGTGCTGAGTAGAGGGGAAGGACCACCTCCCTCAACCTGCTGGCTAAGGCTCCTCCTAACGCAGCCCAGGATGCCAGTGGCCAGGGCACTCTGCTGGCTCTTGTTTGACCTGTTGTCCACCAGGACCTCCAGGTCTTTTTCTGAAAGCTGCTTTCCAGACGGTCAGTCCCCAGCCTGTCCCAGTGCCAGGGCTTATTCTTCCCAAGGGGCAGGACTTGGCATTTCCCTTTGAACTTCGTGACATTCCTGTTTGCCCATTTCTTCAGCCTGTTGAGGTTCCTCTGAATGGCAGCACAACCATCTGGTTTATCAACTGCTACTCCCAGTTTCGCATGAGGATGTTACAGGAGACAGTGCTGAAAGCCCTGCTAAGCCAGTACCTGACATGAGGGGTCAGGAGGCTTCTGTGGAGTTCACGTTTTGTTCTTTGTGTCTTATTGCTTTCACTATTTGTCTTAGGAAAAAGGACAAACTACCTGAAATCCATCACCTTACAGAGTCACCTTGCATAGCTTAAATCAACAAATAAATAAATAAATAAGATACAGTCTTTTGTAAGACAGTTAAAAGCAAGAACTGCTACTGATTAATATCTGAAACAAGCCTGATAGTCCCAGTGCACAGACTGGTCATATGCAAACCAATGCTCATCTTCTGATCCCAGTTTCTGTGGACAGTAGTGTTAAGTTATGGATAAAAGGCTTGTCTCCATGAATACAAAGGATTTTTATTCTTCAAATACAAAAGCATTACAGAAGTCACAAACTCCTACTGTGGAAACATCACAGATTGCTTACTGAATAGGAGAAAATTTAG